TAATGGAGTACCCTCATTTCTTATTGAATTCCTAAAAAACAATATTTATAATGAATTTTAATAATTTTTTCGGATTTTTTTTAAGCTTTATTCTGACCGATTCACCCGATTCCCGATCTGGAACGTCGGTTCGCCGATCCGGAGGAAGCCCGATCCGGGTCACCGATCCGTTTTTTAAACCATTGGTTTCCATCACCACCCTACTAACACCTTCAAAACAACTAACTCCTAAACAATATGAAAAAAATGGGTAGGGGCGTGTCCTACCCACTGAATTACCAAAAAAAACAAGTACAAAAAGACCACAGCTATTATTGGCTATTAGACATGAAATTTGGTGGCCAAGGTTATATCATTGACCATACACAATGTTTAAAACAAAATTTATTGAATGTTTTGCCACTTTAATCCATTCAATAGCTAAAAATGATTGTGACCTAATTTTACCAAAAATAAATGATCTCATAGTATACAATCCCTTGCATTCAATATGCCAAAAAAAAAAGAGTAGCCAAAAGCATGAATGCTCTCGCAGGAGCACACTGTCCCTTCCAATGCATAGATATTTTTAGGACCGCAAAATTCGGGGATGGAACCATTTCAAACGATAAGCTAACCTCAATGAAAATTTTCCAAATTGTACTCTCTATGGGCTTGGGAAAAAAAAAAAAGTCTCAAAATTGAATAGAGAACATCCAAATTTTGAAGGGAAAGTCTCAAAATTGAATAGAGAACATCCAATTTTTGAAGGGAGAGATGTAAGTGTCAGAACACTCAAAATCCATCCTTTTGCTTTTAAATATAATCATCTTGTGAATTTTAGATGGTCCACAAAATTTCAAATCAGAAAAATCTTCCCAAACAAGTCGGCTGCCCGAGAGAGTAATTACACAGTTTACTTCCGCAAGAACATAGCATACATGCTCAAAAAGTATGCTAAAAAGGTAATCACCCATAATACATTATTAGCAATGAGGTAAACGGGGGCAATTTGAGCAGTGTATGCATTTTGTCATACTTATGCTTGGTCTAATACACAAGTTAGCCACAAATGCTGCTACTTGCACGCAAAAAAATCACAAAAGCTTTCTTCAGAAATATTACTTGGGAAAACAGCATGCGTGGATGGTTGCACAGCCATAGTTGCATACGTAAGAAGCCTCTTATGAGAGAGATCCGCTTATGTTGGCAAATTTGCATGCACTAAAATCTCCCAAATCTAAGCCCTTCATTCTAAAATCAGTTCCCTCGTTTGGAACTACTCTCTCTTCCATGCACAAAACTGTTTTGCCATTAGGTTTCTAATGATGAATATCTAATCTCTTTCTCTCAGAATGGAAACTGAAGCCCTCATCTCTCCTGGATCTCAATGGGTCGAAGTGCGCAAAATCGAATCCAAAAACCTTATCGAAGTTCAGCCTTCTGCCTCTACCAAGCACAAGAGGTCTTTTAGAAGAATTAGCAAAAGAGCCAGTAGAGTTGATTCGATAGATGCTGAGTCCATGAATTTTCTTGGCACTAATCCCCATCACAATGAGGTAACATATTTTAGCTTTCTCATAATCCTTTTCAAGTTTCTATATTCTTGATTTCACTTGAATATACTTTCACAGGTCATACAGTAGAATGAGAAAAGAAGAGGAATTATATCGAATTATAAACAACTGTTTATTGCACATTTTTAGTTTTAACAGAAATATAGAGAGAATTGTTGCAGAATGTCACGACAGATCTTGCTAAAATGAAATTTAAATGCGAAATTTAATAATGTATTGCCTAATTTAAATGGATTTGTTCAAGGTAACAAGCCATCATGGTGACCTATTGGCTTGTAATTCAGCCAGAGAGAGAGAGAGAGAGAGCATCCATCATTAAACACACCGCAAAACAGGTCTGTATATCAACATTTGATAGAGAGAGGTTCATCACTAAAAACTCTATGGCAAACAGGTGTTTACATCAACTTCAGCGAGAGAGAGAGAGAGAGATTTCAAGTACTATCTTTACCATTAAGATATTGGTGTCACTAAAAGATGTATGTAAATTCTGTTTCCCGTATCTCAGGAGCTGTCCTCATGGCACACCCTGGCCTTGGCATTTCAAACCCTCGGTGTGGTGTACGGTGACCTAGGCACGAGCCCTCTCTATGTTTTCAGTGATGTCTTCACAAAGGCCCCAATCAATGCAGAGGACGACGTGTTAGGGGGACTCTCACTAGTCATGTATACAATAGCACTCTTTCCATTTGCAAAGTACGTTTTCATTGTGCTCAAAGCAAATGATAATGGTGAAGGTATAGCCCTGAAAGACAAACTCACGATTTCAATTATGGGAAACTCAATAATTCAATGGACTAATGAAATGGAGGGATATCCAATAATGAAATGGAGGGATATCCAATAATTCAATGGACTAATCACTTGAATATCTACAGTTTTCACATGTTCCTTCTTTGAAAGAAATGAAAAACAGATGTATATACTATAAACAGCCTGTATATGGTACACAGCCATCTACCATCAATGATCAAGAATCTCACCAATGAGAAGACTTTTCAAAAAAAATCTCTAACAATGAGAAGTGGAGATTAACCATGCCCAGTATTTCCATTATAATAAGCTATGTTTAATTTGCCTCGTTCAGAAAGGCAGTGGGTACCGCTGTTGCTTATCATACATCATACACAGGCTGTCTACCTGCCTTTCCTTTTGCTAAAAGTTCCTACTATGGTGAAGACTATATATTGAAGGACTCAAGTTGACTCAATTTTCTCGCAGGAGGAACTTTTGCCCTGTATTCTCTAATATGCAGATATGCTAAAATTAACTTACTGCCTAACCAGCAACCAGCAGATAAGCTCATCTCAAGCTTCAGACTAGAGTTACCATCACCAGAATTAGAAAGAGCATTGCACATTAAAGAAAACCTTGAGAAGAGCCCCCTATCTAAGACCCTTCTATTGTTGTTAGTGTTGATGGGAACTTCGATGATCATAGGGGATGGCATACTAACTCCTGCTATGTCAGGTCTTACCTAGTCCTTTGCACCTGTTTTGTCGTAATACATTGTTATGTAATATTTCCATATAATTAGTGTCCTCTACAAGTATCTGGGATTGAATTTAACAGAAATCTTCATATATGATAAGCTACTAACTATGCTTCTCTCACTAATGCAGTTATGTCAGCTGTGAGTGGTCTACAAGGTGAAATTCCAGGTTTCGACGAAGGTAAAAAGATTCAGTTACCTGTATTTGCATCTTGGTGTCAAAGGTATAAATAGATAGATAGATATATTGACAGATAAGAGCCTTGGGAGTGAGGCCCATTTAGTTTCTGGTTCTAGCCCATTTAGTTTCTGGTTCTAAATGAAGCATAAGGCAATTGTTACATCATATTGCAGATTCAGTGGTAAAAACCTCCGTCATAATTCTGGTGGGTTTATTTAGCATACAAAGGTTCGGTACAAGCAAAGTGGGCTTGACATTCGCCCCTGTATTGGCATTGTGGTTCTTCTGTCTAGGGTTGATGGGGCTCTACAACATTCTAAAGCATGATATCACCATCCTAAGGGCTTTTAATCCAGCTTACATCTATCTGTTTTTCAAAAGGAATGGTGCAAAAGCATGGTCAGCCCTTGGGGGATGTGTCCTATGCATAACAGGTAATGTTGATATGCATGAGGATGTGTCTTCACTCTACAACAAATGTTATCTTGTTCAATAGTTACTAAGAATAATGGATAATCTTTTTTTTAGATATGTATTCAAACTAGTTATAGTTCTATCTATTATTTCTTTAGCATCTAATAATACACTCTATATGTAAACCCAGTATTTAAGAACCAGGATTCGAGACGTGACTTGCTAGGGTCCCTTCCCAAGTCATATGGTCGAGTCAGCTGAATCTGATAAAAAATCGGCCGAGCCATAAAAAAAAAATAACAAAAGGAGGCCAAAATATGGTAACACTTGGGGCATGCCCCTAGGTTTTTGACTCTGGACTGCCAAGGTTCCAAGTAGAATGGTGGAACAAGAATCGTGTAGCCGACTCCAAATAATTAGGATAAGGCTTTGATGATGATGCTAATGACAGCCAGGGTCCCGAGCCAAGCTGACTCGGGCTTGGCAAGTTTTTAATCACTGTATAATCCTAATAATCCACCCGATATGTAACCTAATGTATGCTGTTCATTGAGACCAAATAAAAAGTAATAGATCACAAAGAGTCATTCAAGGCTGCCTAAAAGCATTTGGTTGGCATCTTCTGATATAAAAACCTAATGTATGCTGTTCATTGAGACCAAATAAAAAGTAAAACATTGCAAAGAGTTATTCAAGGCTGCCTAAAAGGATTTGGTTGGCATCTTCTGATACAAACTACAGGGGCAGAAGCAATGTTTGCTGATTTAGGTCACTTCTCAGTGCACTCTATCCAGGCAAGTTCAGCAAATAAATTAGTTCAGTAGTGACATTCATTACTATGGTTTCATAGAGATTAAGATTTGCCCTCCACCATTGTTTTGGATAATTCGATATTGATTTAGTTGATGCATGAACAGATTGCATTCACTTTTGTGGTGTTCCCCTGCCTGCTTTTGGCTTACATGGGCCAAGCAGCGTACTTGATCAAATATCCAGCATCGGCGGAGAGGATATTCTATGCTTCAGTACCAGGCATGCCTCAACTAATATCTAATGTAAAATTTTGTAATGGACCACTAATATTATACTAGGAATGTAGGATATGTTTTTCCTTGAAAGTAATAAGCCATTATGTCTCAACTTTCAAGTATTTATTACTAAAACATTTAATAACAAGTTTTTCATGAAGAAAATTTTCTTAACTGAAAAAGTTTATGAACAGATGGTTTCTTCTGGCCAGTATTTGGAATAGCTACACTTGCAGCCATGATAGCAAGCCAAGCCATGATATCAGCAACATTTTCATGCATCAAACAGTCAATGGCTCTGAGTTGTTTCCCAAGGCTGAAGGTAGTGCACACATCAACAAGATTCATGGGACAGATTTATATTCCAGTCGTAAACTGGTTCCTGATGATAATGTGTATAACTGTGGTTGCCACCTTCAGAAACACAAATGCTATAGCAAATGCCTATGGTGAGTATTGATATACGCCCCATCCCTACCCTGTTAACATGTCAGAAAAAAATGGTACTAATATAGGTCATTGTTCTCCAATGTTTCTCAACTATTAGATTATTTATCAGCCCAACATAATAGCAAACAACTGGACCACATCAGCCTCACTATCTACGGGCTTTGTAGCTCTTTCTTTTATCAGTCAGTTGCTTAATACTTCTTTCACTTGATAAACAACCATTTCCTTTACATAGTTCGCAATTTTAATACTAGAAGAACACTTGATAAACAACCATTTCCTTTACATAGTTCGCAATTTTAATACTAGAAGAACAAATATCGTCTTATGTCAATAATACAATGGACACATAGCAAAAGAACATTATGTGCCTGTCAACCATGCTTGTCTGTTTGGAACTCGGAGCAGAGAAACCCAGATGGAAAGGTGCAACATGTTTGAAGTAAACAGACAGCAAACAGTGGATACATGCATGTAAGTGGGCACAAACCAAGAGAGACATGTAAAACTGCAAAACATTTTTGTAAAGACAACGGTTAAGAAGGGAGTTTATATCAAGTGCATGGAGCAACCAACGAGACAGTGCAAACAAGAGAAAGAAACAAACAAAAGAAACAACCTAGCAGGTTCAAATATAGACTCCAAGTTGATTGTGAAACTTAACAACAGAGGAGTAGGTGCCATCTACTAACCGATGGTAAACTTTAGGAAGATGGAAACTCTAGTGCCAAAGGTATCTTCATTTAAAATATTATTCTGACACCATCCAATAGAAGGAAATGATTTAAGAGAGACAACAAAACTAACAGCCAGGATAGGAAATGGCTCTAACAACCTGCAGAACACGATGCAGTGACATGGCTAAGAAAAACACTACACCTCTCCCATCTCCAAAACATCCAATTCTTTCTGACTTTCAGAATAAATATCCCTCCTAGCTTGCCTAGAAAACAACTCAACAACTCCTCATGTCTAAGGTCCCAAGTAAAACCAGGAAACCAACTAGCAACCCCACCTCCACAGAGTCCCAGATTGATCTCAGGCCCAATGCTACTTATGCCATCAAAGAGAGAGCAATGAAATGCATTATTAATTATCATGAAACTAGAATAATGATTAAGAAAAGGTTTTAAAGCCCCGCCCCTGGCCTGGACTCACTAACTGATTCATTATAGATTTTCTTCTGCGATTAGGTTGAAGCAACAGATTTTAAGTCCTGCAGATTAAAATCTGCGGATGTATAAATTTATGATAATACGAATGGATTCAATATTATCTAATTTATTCCTTTCCTTGATGCTCTGGATCACATTTCATGTGACAAGTTTAAGTAGTAATAATGGATTGGATTTCCCCACTGGCATAACAAGAAAATATGTGTCGACAATCAATCAAAAAACTTAACTATCAACAAATAAGCCAAACAATCCTAGCACACTCATTTAAACATTGGCTGATTCCAGGCTATCACAGTCATTACTATTTCTCACACTTGAAGAATGTTGCAGGTATCGCAGAGGTAGGAGTGATGATGGTGAGTACCACCCTGGTCACCCTGGTGCTGCTTCTAATATGGCAGAAAAACATATTGTGGGCCCTGAGTTTTCCTGCAATCTTTGGAACTGTGGAGCTCATCTACTTATCATCAGTCTTGACAAAAATTCAAGAAGGTGGTTGGCTACCCCTCGCTTTCTCATCATGTTTCCTATGTGTGATGTTCACCTGGAACTATGGCAGTGTATTGAAGTACCAAAGTGAAGTAAGAGAAAAGATATCAATGGACTTCATGATAGAACTTGGAGCTAACCTTGGTACAGTAAGAGTACCAGGCATCAGTTTGATCTACAACGAGCTTGTCCAAGGAATCCCATCAATTTTAGGGCAGTTTCTAGTGAATCTTCCAGCAATTCACTCTACTGTAGTCTTTGTCTGTGTAAAATATGTACCTGTTCCCGTTGTTCCAGAAGAGGAGCGATTTCTTTTCAGAAGGATATGTCCAAAAGACTATCACATGTTTCGTTGTATCGCAAGATATGGTTACAAGGACCATCGAAGAGATGAAGACAGTTTATTCGAGCAATTCCTCATAGAGAGCCTTGAGAATTTTTTGCGAAAAGAGGCTGAGGAACTTGCCTTGGAAAATAACAAATTAGAGTTGGATTTTGCAAATAACCCAGTTGTCCCCAAGGATTCTTCAGAGCTCTACACACCATTGATGTCAGATCAAAGGCATTTAGGCATTGGGTACAGCGTTTCCAAGTCTACAAATTTTTCACACCTTCAGGAACCACTAATGGCAGATAAAAGGCATGAAGAAAACATTAATAGTTCCATTTCAAAAGGAAGGCCAAACTTTATCCGAACGGGACTGCCAACTACTGCTATGAATGTCGATGAAGATGTTGGTCTTGAATACGAGCTTGCAGCTTTGCATGAGGCCAAAGATTCAGGGGTTACACATTTTGTTGCTCATGCAGAAGTGAGGGCCAGAAAGCGATCCTGGTTTCTCAAGAAATTGGTCATAAACTACTTCTATTCATTCATGAGGAGGAATTGCCGAGCGAGGGCTGTAGCCCCCCATGACAATCTATTACGAGTTGGAATGACATACATGGTTTAAAATAACAATATCTTACACTTAGGCATGGGGCCTGTCACCTGGGTTCAAGAAAAATCATTCACATCCCCTGAAGTCCCACTCATAAGCCTTTGATCCTTGAAATGTATCTATTTAATCATGTATTGTGCCAAACTTACTAATGTATTGTGTTCAAAGCAGCTCCTAGTCCTACTTCTACCCCATGAAACAAGATATGAAAAAGGGCTCAAAGCCAGAAAGAATTTACTGCTAAAGGGCTCAAAGCCAGAAAGAATTTACTGCTAATGCCCTCTAAGGTACTCTAACCATTTGAATTGAATCTGAAATATACCAAGCACTTCCACTAGGGTAAAAACAAATTGAATAGATAATTATCTCAAAATATATTATTAGTTTTATTTAATTAACTGTCAACTACAAAAATAAAGACATACCAACAGGGAGCAATTATCAATAAGAGGAAACGTGATTCCAATGTCAATTTAAGATTAAGATGACAATTCGACTATTCGGTAATTTCAATTAGAATATGACGTCTTTATGCACGTAGGTCAGACCCCATGATTTCAAACCCAAAGACCATCACATCCTAGACTATTAGTTAATCCCCTTATGAGCCCATTGCTCCATCCAATATTGAAATATTACAACTGTGTATCAAGATTGATCAGTTCGAGAATGACTATTAGTAACCTAAATTGTCATCATCATCATTATCATCATCATCCAAGCCTTATCCCAATTATTTGGGGTCGGCTACATGAATCTTGTTCTTTCATTCTTCTCTATCAAGGGTCATATCCTCAGTAAGACCAAAAAACACCATATCTTTGGTCACCACATGACAAACCTAAGCATAAAACAAAATAATCATAAACCACATGCCTTTCTATGCACTTTCATGTTAAGGTCAGCATTCTAGAAATATTATCATTCAGTTTATACTAGTGGATTTACCTGTGTTGCACATAAAAATGTAGTGAGATGGAATAATGACAAAAGTATTAATCAAACACGTTTCAAACTTTGCAATGAATGCAATGAGAGATAGAAGAATAGTAAAACATTGAAAGGCTTTGAAAATTAATTGTAAACAATATTAAAAGCGTAGAAATAATAGTAAATAAAAATATATTTAACTAAATGAAAAAAAGGGGAAGAAACGATGGTTTCCTACTACCTGCTTTGTAGAAAATCCTAAATAATTTTTATGAAGCATTCCAATATTTGTTATGAGAATTTTGAAAATGTCATAAACTACTTCTAAATCATGGAAATATTTATAAAAAAAGAAATAACTATTTTCAATATCTCGATATTACTTAAAAATACAAGAAATGAGTCATCAATGAAATTTTAAAGCATTAACACGTGCACAGGAAACCCAAGTCTTGAAATAAACTATAAGATTACTACTAATGCACCACATGCAGCCTTCTAAAATTACTGTTCATGCTAATTATAATTATTAAACAATAAATAAAGAAATAAATCAGAATTTCTTTTTTGCAGTCAAACCAACATATTCATCTTCACATATTTTAAAAAATGTAATAGAAATTAAAATGCCACATATTTTTAGATAGCACAAAAAATCTCTAAATCAAAAATTGAATTTCAGATGTTTACAATTTAAAAGATAAAAATTTAATAAATAATTTTAGGAATCATGAAAACACACATGAAATTTAAAAAAACTCGACATTTATATTTACAAAGAAAAAATAATCAAAGATAGTTCATTAAATATAAATAAAAGGGGAATTTTTATTGGAAATACAACTTTACTAATTTTGGAAGGAAAGATAAAATATTTTACTATAAAGCTTTATGGAACAAAAATTCTAGTATTTAAAATTTATTTATTTTGGGTAATTCAGTGGGGAAGATAGGCCCCTACCCGTTTTTTCAAGTAGATTAGGAGTTACCTTTTTGAAGGTATTAGCGGGGTGGTGTTAGTGGTGGGGATCGAAACCAATCTTAAAAACATAAAAATCATATAAATTTATTTTAAGTAATTCGAAAAAGGAAGTTGTATTACCTATTTTTGTAGGAATAGAGACTAAATTGTAAGAAAAATTTAAATTTTCCTGAGGACCACAAATAATTGGAATAAGACTTAGATGATGCTGATGATGATGATTTTAAATTTTTCTTAGGAACTTTATATTAGTCAAAAACTAATCTTAAATAATGAAAATTCTTTTGGAAGAGGAAATCCGCTTTGATGCATGTCATAGATGCAATAATCCCAATTCCAGTAGGGAATAGTTCGAAAATATTAGCAATTAATGGCAAACGTAGGCCATCGCGGGTATGCGCTATTTAATACATGAGATTTGTAAAGCATATGTCATATAAGCTACTAACCACACAAGGCATGAGCATAACATCGATCACTCGCTCCTGCAAACTTAACCTGTAATTCAGTATTATCACCTCAAACACATCCAACACAAACATTCTGCACATCTGCTGTCGAAGAAGATGAGCACATTGTATATGATGATTGGATATTAGCGAACCCCCCCTTCGTCTTAGTAGGCTATGGGATTGATATTGATAAGGGTCTTATTATGTGCCTTTATAGCATATGGCCAAGCAATTCCACTAGGACATTTTGTGTCAAATGCCACGTCCATGACTTAGTTAATCATCACACCCAGTTATGCGACATAAATTGCATTACCACTAATCAAGGTATATGAAAACCTTAAGATTCACACTGTAAGTCTGTAACATATTATTCGACATTTCTTACGAAAACAAATTATATATCGACCACCCAAACCATATCGAACCAAGATGGGACTTCAACCATTGAAAAGCTTGATCAATTTTGTATGGAATGGTCTAGTTCAGTGAGGTTTTACAAAGTTTTACCATAAGTTTTAGAGCTTTCAGGGGTATTCTGATAATCAAACCCTTGGTTATACAAGGGGCTTTGAAGTATAGACCAGGAATGCTAAGTACGGTCTGGTATAGAATTCCGTAATCAATAATATGATTCAATCAAATTTCAGCTGCAAACAAAACAATGGGTGCCTAAAGCTTCTCTAGGATAACCAGTAGAACCTCATTAATTATTATGATTTAACCAGGTTAACTTTTTTTTTTTTGAGAAATTAACCAGGTTGACTTTTAATAATATTGATTTTGTGCTAATAACATCTGAGGAATTAGAGACAGATTTTAGAACTTACAAATAACAACATAATCCCCAGCCTCTTAGATCGAACAGAACAAAATCCTCACCTTTTTTGCTGATAAGATGGATTAGCACCAACTTCATATAAAGAACCTAAATTAATGCAACACTTAAACAATGATCTTATAAATGGTTTTAAGTGCTAACCAAGTAGAGCCTTCAATCTTCCAGTGAATCCCCCACATGTCCATTGTAATATTTCACCATCAATATTTCTCCACAGAACTTCTTAGGAACCTGCTCAAGTTTCTCCCCTTCCTGCCATGCTTGCCCAACCAAGATTCCTGGTCCCATATGTCGCACATAGATAACCATATGATCACTGAATGGCCATGGGTGTTTTGCTGCACAATGTGCATAAAGGAAAATCAGGCATGCTGATGAAAGAAAACGTCGACAGTGTGTAAAAAGAACGACTGTTATGTTGGAAACTGCATGGTCCATCAATGGATCCATATTAGATAATAGCCTAGAGTACTAGATCAAATTCTCTTATCCAACAATCAAACAGTTTCTGAATCAAAACATCATTCTTAGAATTTCAACACTTGATGGACAATGGAAACAATTCAAGAAGTAAACCAGATCAAAGGTATTCCTCAGATGGTTAATGCTATACTGAATAGTAATAACATAGTTTTATATATGGGATCAATAAGCTGAACAGCAATCAATCATTGAAATAGTGAATAAAATGATTTTGTGATGATGTGAGGCAAACTTCACCAGATTTAAAGATCAAACTAAGGAAGTTTCTGGAACATTTTATCTCAGAATCCAAACTAATTCCATGATCTCCAATTTTTTAAAAGCAACAGTCACCAAACCTGGCATAGGGAAGCCTTCTGGATACTTGGATAGATTCAACAGCCCATCCCCAAATTCATAAGCCAAATCACAAGGTTGCTCTGTTGCCATCACCTCTTTAATATTTTTTACTGTGAAGTACAATGGACTGAATGAATCTGCAATTTTTGCCAGAAAGGATCCACCTGAAAGTTTCCAGTACACTTTCGTAATCGGACATTAGCATCTTCTGGTAAGTTCGTAAAGTAAATACTTGACCTACATAGAATGACAATTTCTTCATTTGCAAAAAATATTCAAGTGGAATTTGTAGTCTAGGTGACACCCCTGTTGGTACGAAATATTTCATACTACAACTTCACTATCAATGGCATATCATAAGAGGTACAAGCAAGGTCAACTGCAATTCTGCTTGAGATGTAACCGTTGGGATCCTAGTGAGGAAGAGAAGCATTTTCCTCAATATCAAAGACCCCATATATCAAATCCAATAACAGGTGTTCTTACCAGGAAAAATGCGTCCACATACATCCCCATCATTGTCACGAAATACAGCCTACCATATGATAGTGATCCAAGTCATGCTTACAATATTATAATCCAAGTGACTAGATCACAAAAAAAGAAGACCAGGGATTACCTTTTTGAAATCATTTGCCCAAGCAAATCGCAAAGGTACTGTTCAACAACATCACAAAAACAATAAATCCATTAACAGCATCAATTATCAAAAGATTAATAAACAATAAAATCATTAAATAATGAGAAAATAACTTTCAAAAATTAAAACATTTGTTTTTGAGAAAAGTTAACACCATTTTAAGTATGGAATATACTTAACCTAAATATTAGATACCATGAATAACCATTATGTGAACTTCATTTAAAATGATGAAACATCAATAGTTGTATAGTAAACTTTTTCTTCACACTGAATCATTGTCAATACCTCCGGTAGTTTTGCAACTCCAATACTCAAGCACTTCTGAATTTTTCTCAAAAGATAGCAAGTCAGATGCACTTTTTTTCACTAGCTTAGAGTCCCCATAACGTGTGCCAGCCATTTCCCAGAGCCTAGAAATGTGCCTGAATCAAAATATAAGTTTGTTAGTGCCTGCAATATTTTTTAAAATGGCGAAACAAAAAAAGTGGCATTTAGATCTATCTTTTTAACTAAAACAAGCAATCTAATAAACGTCCATCTTACAAAACTAAGCATCACCTTGATTTTAATAAGCGAAGCAACCGGTGCCTTCTTTCCTCTGGGATATCTGCAATCTTCTTCCTAGAACAGATGGAATGCAAGTTCATAATTGAATTAGTGAGGGCCTAGAACATTTTAAAGAGAATTAACATATAGGCCACTACTTGAACAATAAAAATCCTCATTTTGTCTTAATTAAATGCCATATTGGAATGGAGAACAGGCAGCTAAATTGAATTTTAGCAAGCATTTCCTTTTATAAATCATTACAGAACCCTACAGTCAATTCCATTTTACTGGATTATATCGTATATAAAGAGCCTGTTGATATTCATGTTATTTTTGTCCCCGAGAGTATAAATATTACAGTCCATATACCAATTTTCTTACCTTTACCGGGGGTAAAGTTTTAAGGATCGGAGTCAACATACAGTCGCGGCAATCTAATCAATTATAGATTTTGAATAGGAAAAAAATAACAGAGTAAACCTCACGATCATTTGAATTTCGGAGAACCCGCAAGTTTTTAGGACTAATACTTTCCTTGAGAAACTAGAAGGATCACTTTAAGGAAGACTGATCTATGTTTTCAAAATCACAATATCAGAAAGGCTAAAACACTTGACATCAAACAATAACATTCGAGTTAGAACGTTTGGGCCTTTGTATTGGTATTGGAATAAAAGCAAAATAAAATACAATGGAATTGCTACAAGATAGAGAAAATGAAGAAAGCTCAACTAAGTGAAAAATAATTATATCCAATCATGAATGTCGAAGCAACCATTGAAGAGTCTCCATGAAAAGGTCAATGAAAGACAAAGGGAGACAAAAGGCACAGAAATTGAGATGGAGAGAGAGAGAGAGATAGGTTTTGGGCCTGAACTGGATTGGTTAGTAATTGAGAATTGCAAAGCTGAGCCTCAAGTTCGATTCCTACCACTGAAACCAAAAGTAATAAGTGAGGAAACAAGCATGTATGCTTGTTCTATATGACTGCAGTCCATGACTGAGAAAGAGAGGGACAAACAGACAGAGATAGAGAGAGACGTAGTTTTCCCATGAATTTACCATAGATAAGCAGCAGGATTATACGAATCTGGGTCCAATGGAATAAGCTCTTTAGGTGAATCTACCAGTGTAACAATGTCCAACTCATCGAGAAAAACCTTCCTCCCACTCTGCGACAAATCATATGGTTTCTCGTCCCATGCCGAAACCTTCCCCCCATTAAAAACCCCAATTCCCCTAGTTCTCCCATTTACATTCATTCTCTGCAACTTTGAACTGCGGTATATCTTCCATGGCTGAACTTGCAGCTTCAAATGAACTGACAAGATATAACTCATTCCAATATTCAGGGCAAAATGAAGCAGACAATAAGGAAGTTACAGAGAATCGAAAAGATGGACTCAGTGGTACCTGGATGAAACCCTACTCCTGGTAATTCGAGCTTGCAATGAGAGTTGAGGGTGGAAGGAGCCTGCATTTCTTCACCCGTTTGGGGTTTAGGGTTTTAAAATTACCGCCAAACGTCCCGTCCTTCAGGGGTAGCGGTGGACGTGGATAAAACTCGTAAATGGCTACCATTGAAGTAATGTTTTTTTTTTTTATAAAAAAACGTAAGCGAGGAGAGGGACTTGAAAATATAAATTTATTTCCAAGTATAAACTTAAAAAATGCACTTCAGCATATTAATAAAGGAGGTAGTATGTATCTTTCCAATGGTAGAGATTTTGTATCATTTGGACTCCAATTGCTTAGTCAAACTTTCAGTACAAGAGACGTAACATTCTTGAAAATTATCACAGTCTGCTAACAGTTCCTCATTTCGATGGTGCTCGGGATCTACGATCGGTATGTTGATTTTTCTACCATGGCAAAAATCCACTCAATGGCTTAATTTTGATCAAGCCTCTTAGCTTGATTATAGAGAGATAAGATATGAATATGAAGTGAGAGAGAGAGATCTACTAGCAAGGGTTCACCCATTTGCCACCCACAAAGAACAGAGGTGATATGTGCCACCAAAACATGGTTCAACTTGGAAAAAGATAAAAACTGGGACATGCCTCCCTTGGGTAATTCAAAGCCCTTTTCAGATGAAAGCTAAGGGACTATGTGGCCCTTGCGTGTGATGAATATCTTTTAGAGACAAAGCTAAAACTTAATCGTTATTTCATCACACGACATGTACATAGATAGTTGTTTTGCTATTCACCACATACATACAAAAAACGAGTCATATCTTCCAAACTATCAAGAATTTCAGCTAATCATAACATCAAACTCAAAGTAAACTCATAGACATTTCAAATGGTGGTGATTTGAGACCAATTGGATATCATTTGCTCAATCAAAAGTTCATCACATAGTATGTAAATTCCTTGGAAATCAATTTCACAATTTTAGCATACTTATAAGCTCTAAACAATCAAATTGAGTCTACCTTCAAATAGTGTCGAGAAATGTGGTTTCAACATAAGAAATCTTTGTGATAACCTTAAAATATATTTTCATATTTTTTTCTAAGTTTAAAGCTTAAAAAATAGTATAGATCGACAAATCTATGAAAAGTTTAAAATATTGAAAATTGACGGTCAAAAAATACATTACAGAATGCACTATTTTCAAACCTTGAAATCCATTTTCTTTTCTCATGTCCATACATCTTGCTGTCAATATGATCAGTTTGAGGATATTTGGACATCAAAACAATCTATTCTAGTTAAATTTTTGTAGTAGGCTTCAATTTGATTGTCTGGAGCATTGGCTCTATATAACTTTTCCCATTAATAAATACTTGGAAATCTAGAAAATAGGCTGTTTCGGTAACTTGTTACAAGATGTCGTATGTTTAGGGCCTGAATTTATTTTTTCTTAGTTTTATATATCAATAAATATCAAGGTTGAGATGATCAATTTAAATTTGATTGTCTGGAGCATTGGCTCTATATAACTTTTCCCATTAATAAATACTTGGAAATCTAGAAAATAGGCTGTTTCGGTAACTTGTTACAAGATGTCGTATGTTTAGGGCCTGAATTTATTTTTTCTTAGTTTTATATATCAATAAATATCAAGGTTGAGATGATCAATTTAAATTTCTAAGTTTGGAACACTATTTTCTACTAGATTTCTAGGTATACCATGTTTTTTTTTAGGTAATTCAGTAGGGACCTTGTTTTTTTTGGGTAATTCAGTGGGGATGACAAGCCACTACCCGTTTTTTAAATTATTAGTGGTTTTTAAATGCGCTAGGTGAGAATGGAAACCTATACCTTAGCTAGGGCATAAGTGATGCTATCACCCCAACCCCATTCTCATGGTCTACCTTATTTCTATAATATAAAGTTGCAACCTTAAATAAATTATGATGAGATTTCTATAAGGCCTAAGGTTTTATATAGATCATCAGATTCTATTATACTTTCCTTCTTTAAGTTCAAACATTCTGGCCCAATTTGGATGGTCTCTATTTCTAGTAATAATTAAGTTACAAGAGATTATGACTTTTCTAGTTTAAGTTGGCAGAATGGGTTTTCAGCTTCTCTAACTAGCGAGGGAGGGAAACTGTCCTTGCTCGTAAATATTAGCACATATAAGACATTATCATCTTTACTCATGAATGGGCAAGAGAGAATAAAAGTATGCTTTAATAAATGGGTGTGGTTTCTATAAGATTGCAACCTTAAACAATCCAATTATGGCGCACCTCCAAATTCTATCATGACATGTAATTTTGGTGTAAATAATTATTAAGATTATCTCAAAATCTATTTTCATATCTAATTATAAAATTTTAAACTTAAAAAATGGTTAAAATCGAGTAGATCTATAAACATATGAAAATCTTGAAAATGGAAAATCTAGATAATGTGTTGCAATATGTAATATTTTTAAGATCCAAAATCTTTTTTTTTTTCCATATTCATACATCTAGATGTCGAGATGATCAATTAGAGGATCTTTCAACATTAAAGCAACATTTTCCGATTGATTTTTTAGGTGCATATTTAATTCTACATTTTAATATTGCAACCTTATACAAACTATTTCCTTAATACATTGCCCATCCAAAATGGACCTCAGTCTTGCACCAAGTTGAATTTGAATTTACATGCCGAAACACCAAAAAAACCCATGGGGGTCGACGTTTTTCTTTCTAGAGTTGCCTTCAATTCATACACTTTTAGTACCAGACAGGTGGGAAACTCTTAATTTTAAAATTTTATTTTAATCAACTCATGACAGATATTAACATTGCTGAACAACCCTATCTGTTAATCTGCTTGATATTTACAATATTGGAAAGCCCCAAAAGTCAAGCTCCTAGAGTGACGTTGGCAAAATGCCAAGAATATAAATCTGTTGTCAAATGTTGCCAACATCTCACAACACATTGGATTTGTATTACTAAATGTTGGAACAAATAAGGTTCAACAGTCGAAGTAGAAGCAAAATAAAATAACCAGAAATCGGGTATCATACCTGAGTGCTCGCATAACAATTTTGGTGAACAAATATCAGGAATGATCAACTCACGTAAGCACGTTCGACAACTACTAGAGTTGCCGAAATCAATTCCACACCGCAAATACCAAACGAGGTGGAAACTCACGAACACTCCAACAAATGCAATAAAAGTAGTTCAAACTCGACTCTCACGCACAACTCTTTATCACTCAGGGCCGGATCTCTACTTAGATCTCAAATGGGGGGTGATTGTACTCTTTCTCACATTTTTTCTCTATCTCTCAAGAGGAACTCTCATACCTTCTTGTGTGTGTTGTTGTGTTTATAGACCTCCACCATTCCCCTTTTTATAATGAGAGAAAATGTCATCTCATGAAGAGGTGTAACATTTTCCACCTCCCTTCATATTGTAAGTCAAACATGAAGGGAGTGTGGTCCACTTTGGTGTTCCCTCATACTAAGGATGCACCATCATGTCTAAATCTCACACTCATCCCGTATGTGGGAAGGTTATATTCCGAAACAAGAGTTGTCGCTCATTATCGCATCATGAGTATTCTTTCATACAAAGAAAAAAATGTGGTGTGCGACCTACTGGGGCGAATATTATGTTAGAGAGAACCATACCAAGTTTCCAACCAATTAACATGGAACACCTCGTTTCTCCAATACCTGCAAAACAAAAAACTGCTCCACTTACCTTAGACCCGATTTGACCACACCGAACTAAGTTCTCAACAAATCCCTCATAAGCCCAGCTCTAATGATTACTTAGCCCATTTGTACACAATCACTATCAATGCGCGCGCAATGTGTATTGTTTTCTTGTGATATCAAAACAGAGTGTGATATCAAATGGTCTTCCCTTACAACATACATTATTCTACTCTGACCCCGACCATTGTCTCAGCAATGTCTCAGACGAGTCTCATACTTGACTCTAAAGAGTACATGTCAAAGTGAATGATCGAAGTAAAATTTTTTAATGCAGTATAAGGTTCATAAGGGCATTACGGGTCGCCTACTTATTAGCTTCGCACAGTGGTTAAAAGGAACATGATATTCTTTTTCCACACGAGTATGTGTTTTGGTCACTTATACAACACATGTGGTATGAATCACACGTCATGGTGGATCACATCAAATGTGTGTCGGAATCAACACCATGCAGGATTTAGTATTTTCACAGCTATGCAACTAGTCACCACCTAGCTCCCCACAGTCACATCCATGTGTCAACTTGAACATCCTTGATGTTCATCCTTGACTACGTATAGGCTACATGATATTCGGGATGTCAATTTGAACTGATCATGTCAATTCCCTTATGGAATCTCATCTCAAACCCTTGGTTGAGGGGATAAATATATCACATATATATCTCATCATCAATATCCCAAAAATTAAGGGTAGCTCGTGCGAGCAGTGAGCTTTGGCCTGCCAACAAATTAAATGATAATCTCGCACTATTGTGCTCCCTTGTGTATTAAAGTGTACAAACAATTCATAAAATGAAATTCATAGTCAATTATAATAGGGTACCAAGTGTAACATAAACTCATAGGGTCTTGAGTCCTATAGTTCTTACATGAGTCTGATGTGCGGTCTTGACAATTGTCTTAGTCATAGGATCTGTCACCATTTTAGTTGTAGGAATATGAGTTAGTACCACATGTCCATGTGCAATAATATGTCGAATATAATGATATCTAATATCAATATGTTTTGACTTTTCATGCTACTTTGGATCCTTTGCAAAAGCAAGTGCTGCTGTATTATCACAAAATATATTGACATGCTCATTACTAGTTGTGATGACACCTAAGTTCCTTATGAATATTTTCAACCATACGGCTTCTTGTACTGTTCCACTACAAGCAACGTATTCAGACTCCATAGTGGAGAAAGCGACACATGACAGCTTCTTGCTGCACCATGAGACTACACCGTCTCCTAACAATAAGACATAACCTGAAGCCGATTTACACTCATCTAGGTCAGCTGCCCAATCAGCGCCATTATATCCTTGTAACTGCAAATCGGTTCCTTAAAAACATAGCATTTGACTCGAGGTTCCTCAAATGTATCAAAATC